TTTCTTAGCTGTTTGGTAGACAAAAAATTTTGTACAGTTTTTCTGAGATTTTGTTGGTTAATTTGCTTGCTCTTGCATTCTCCTCGGTGTAGAGTAACATTTTATGGGGAATGTTGATCACTGGCTCCTTCTTTAAGTTCTTAAAAGAATTTCATAAATGAAATTGCATATGCTTTGATGCAAAATTGAAGTTTATAAGATATATGAGTTAGCAACATATTTACCTATCGTGGTCAACCAGTAGAAGCTATGGAATGAATCATACATGAGCATTATTCCTGTTGAGATTTGTTGAGGTGTAGTAGATGTTAATAACTTATCGGGCATGATTCTCGAGATTTATACGATCTTATTGCTTCAGATGGTTTGTGGACTCATTGCTTGCTTAGTTTTCATTTACGATGATGCTTTTAGAGTGCAATTTTGTGGGCACATTTCACATTTCTTGTGAAATATTTAGTAGAGAGATGATTGGAAAAAAATAGAACAAAATGCTCAATTGATAATCAATTGTGATTATAAAATAAAAAACATCTATGCAAATTTGACACGGATACTGCTTGGTCTATATGTCTGGAGAACAAAATTGGTAATTCTAGATGGAGCCATTTTTATATCAATGCTTTGATTTAGGTCACTACTCTTAATTCTATTTTTTTCCATTTTTTTATTAGATGGTGAAGCTGTAGAAGTTAAGGCTTTTTTTGGTTTTTATTTTGTCAACTTTATAAGATTTCAGTAATTTTTATAATCCAAAAGTATTATAGAGAATTTTAGTGTTAGATAACATAAGTAATAATCATTTAATCACTGAGAGGATGTACATGATGAATCATGGATTAGTTTTGTGTTGATGGTCAGATATTTGAAATTAGAAAATTCGACGCTTCACATCTTTATCCAGGTGTTCATAAAGTCAATAATAAGTAGACAATGTATAGTTTGGTTGCTCATGAGACATGAGATTCAACATATAGTTAACAAATAGCTACAATAGCTTAGTGATAACACATGGCTTATTACTATCATAAATGGAATTATGTCATTCAAGAGAGTTAGCTCATGATAAAATTTATAGATTTGTTAGTGAAAATTGGAGGGTACTCACATTGAGGTTACAGCAACTTAACAAGCATCTTGTCTCATAATAATTACACCAATGTTGGTAAACATAATTCATTCAAGTTTTTTTTTTTTTGCAAAATTTAAGATATTCATGGATGATTTTATTATTAGTTAAACCAAATTATTTAGGTGAATTATTATCTACGAATTATTTAGAAGACAGTAATGACCCATTTACCATAACATTATAATTTGTTAAAATGAAACGAAAAATAATGGGATACTTTTTAAATAATAGGACAAGTCATTTGGTATTGAGATTGCATGTTAGCATTTATTTCTGATATGAAGAAAAAAATGTGAAGCTATTAACAATAATTTTTTGAATGTGGAACAAAAATTTTATTTGTCATGTTCAAAATAATATTAAAATTTATCATCATTGTGAAGACAGCATAAAGATTCAAAGCATTCAATGGGTAGTTGTAAATGCATACAAAGAGCAAGAATTTGTAGCCAAAACACTTGGATCTCAACGCGCTCCTCTATTCTTATCAGTTGAGCTACATATATCTGATAAAAGTTGTTATATTACAAATAGCTTAGTATAATCGTTCAATTTATGGCTTGGATAGACTTAAGTAAACTAATAGTTGATTTGCTAGAAAAGATTAGATGCGTGGTTATGAAGCAAATGACATAAAAGAATATCAACTATGACACATATCTAGATGATAACTGCTACCTTAAGGGTTGCTATTTATAATTGTGTCTCACTTACCCCCCTCAATTAGTGATAATGTCATTATATTAATTGAAAGATATGATTGCTTATGAAGGTGCTCTATCAACTCTACGTAGGAAGGAATAGTGAAACATAGATATCAACGTTTAACATTGGCATGCCAAAAACATTGACATCAAGGGCATCCTAAGAAAATAATAATAACAATTTTTTGTAGTAAAAAAATAAAAAAGATAATAAGTGTAGTAGTTATGGTGAATTTCAAGGTCATCATAAGAACACAACTAAAAACCGCCTATTAACTATATTTGACTGACCAGCTTCGAAAATACTTATTTTGCTGATGAATTTGTTTTATTTATTTTTTTTTATTGAAAAATATATTTATACATAAAAAATACGCCAATATTAATCCTTAAGAGATATATCGGTCCAATAGAGCTATAGTTCAAGTCGTATTGTTCTTTTCTCTCTAGAGAGAATGTGAGGGTCAAAACCCCTAAAAAAAATATTTCACTTTCATAGTGAATGTGATTGTTGAGGCTACTAAGATTCAAGCATTTGCATCTAATGGTAATAATAATAATCTATATCATTAAACCAGAAATTTTTAATTGACTTGGGAAATTAGATCCTATGCTTTTAAATTTAATATTCCAAGTAATGCAATTAGGCTAACAAGATGAGAGAAAATAATAAAAGCTATGAAAAAACATAGTATTGTGAGTGAATTATTGCAAATTAGAAACTTTTAAGGTCTACTTCTTAAATGTGACTTTTTACAGCAAATAGAATATTGTTTTTCTTGACCCAAGGCTAATTGTTGCTCGCTATGGCAAAAAACTGAGCTCATTGTTTCTTATTCGGTCTAACTAGATTAGTTGTCTTGGATTGATCAAGAAATTAACTGATTTTTCAGAGTAATTTACATACCACCCATTTCGTATGTATTTACATATCTAACATTTGAACTTTAATAATATTATATCACACGAATTTTTAATTTCACCCAAAAAAATCATCATTTTAACTTTTAAAAGTGAAGTTAGATCACGTGGCTCAATCCAGTTGAAATAATCCACTATATAATTATAAGTACATGTGTATATTATTCTCCTAAATTAAGGAAGACGGAGTTACAAAGTTGATCATCGTAGATGTATAACAGTAGTTCATTGCTAATAATTGTAATTTAGCTGCAGTAAATATAGTTCTCACTAAAACAAACTGTAAGGGCCACATTCGGTTGTTATGAAAGCAGTAGCTTACCATGAATGTTGCAAACGATGGTTGTAGCGCTAGCTTTTTGTAGAGGCAGCATAAAAATCATGATAGTAGTTGGTCATGTGAGTCATGATTGTTGTAGGAGCGTCGGTTGGCAACAAAGGTCGTAATAGAGAGCTTCATAAGCTATGAGCCACATAAGTAGTAGTTAGTCATGTAGGTCATAGTGGTGAGATGTGATAACATTCGTAAGATGGGGAGGTAAGAGTTGAGAGTTGCATAAGTTATGAGTCACATAGGTAATATTTGGTTATGTTGGTCGTAGTGGTGAGTTGTCATAATGCCCATTGGTCATAGAGGTTAGAATTGAGAGGTGCATGAGATGTAAGTCACATAGGTTGTAGTTGTTCATGAAGGGTATAGTAGTGAGTTGCAATAATGTCAGTAGGTCGTAGAGGCCGGAGTTGAGTTACATGAGCTGTGAACAACGTAGGTCGTAGTTTGTCACAAAGGTTGTAGCAGTGAGTTGAAATAATGTCCAAAGGCCACATAGACTGTAATGGTAAGTTGAAATAATGTATGTAGGTTGCAGAGGCTGGAATCGGGGTTGTATGAGTTGTGAGTCATGTAGATCGTAGTTAGTTACATACGTCGGTAGTAATAATGTTTATAGGCCGTAAAAGGCCAAAGTTTGAAATTATATGAGCCTCCTTTAAGTCCTCCCCTAAGTCCTGGGCTTCCTCTGATTCATGGTCTATCTCTTCTTTCAATAAGGGGGTGAGACTCTCTATTCATAAAACCTGAGACAGACCTCCTGACAAATAATGAAAGACTCATGACCACTCCATCGGATTACTCAGAGAGATCTCCTTGACCAGATGACATTCCATGGATTTTTGAGTGCCCTAGTGATGTTAAAATTCAGTGATATTGGCCTCATTCGATTCTTCTTGTTGACATGCTCGATTCGACTATAAGTTTGTCATATTTGGAATTAATTTGACCTTGTAATTGGGCACTAGAATCTTTCAAAACTGACTTAACGACCTGATCTAGGATTGATTAGACTCAGGTTTGACCAACTTTTATCGCATTGTCTTTGTCCCGTCAAGTTGGTTAGTTCGACTATAAGTTTGATGAAAATTCTATTATCAAATATGGCTGCGAGAAAACTGAAGCCACCACAATCCCTGATAATTTGCGAATTACTTGGTGGCATCTTTTTTTGGTAATTACATACGTTAACACTTAAATCCTTATTATTTACAAAACTAACATCCCTTTTCATTCATTCTTCAAATTCTCAAACAAATTTTAAAATTCACAATAAAACTAACCTAAGTTTCTTATTTTATCAAATTATAATGATTTAATTATGGCATGCATAAATGGACTAATTTGATAGTTTCAAGAAAATAATCTAGGCGCTAAATTTATAGATAGTCATGTTTCGATTGCAGTGCACATAATTATCACTTATAATTAATGTCACGATAAATTGATATGAATTTGACACAATGTTTTGGTTTGTTAAAAATGAAAAGCACACTAAAAATTTGCAGGTTATTATGATTATAGTATATTAGAAATATTTTGGAATTTTTTTGTTCAATGTAAAAAATGAACGCATAGCTATATATATATATATATATATATCAAAACGATCAAATTTTAAATTCAACTAAAATGAACTATGATGTAAACTTCAAATTCATTCATTCTTTCTTTAAAATATTTATATTAAGTTAAAGATTTAAATGCAATTGCATGCAAATATAAAAAATTTATGCTACATAAATATATAAGAATTATGTCTTAACAAAAACACATTATTAACACGAAAAACTAAAATATTTTGAAAGTAAATTCATTTGAGGGTCTGGCGTTGTGCTAAAATGTATAGCATATTAATATTGAAGAGAAATAGAATAAAAAATCTCATGCCTAATTCAAGCGCTAACCTTGCTCGAAAAAAGAAAAGAGGTGCAGCAACATTATTAAAAAATAAAATAAAAATGCAGTACAAGTGTACGAGAAAAGCTGGTATGAAAATAGCTCTTATCGCCCAACTACTGTCACGCCACGTTATACTACATAAATCACAGATTAAGGTACAGCGCAGTGAATTTTCCCTTCTCTGTACAAAATAAACTCGACATGAAGCTGTCAAGAGTGTAGTGCGCTCACCAATATTGTCTTCTAAAAGCCCGTGGCATCGTTTCACCAGGGACCAGTATATGTCCTCCTCAAGCATGATCTTTTTTGCCCAAGTTGATGATTAAGCTCCAAAATCTGTCCATATTATTTCTTATAAATCGGAAAAAAAATATATATTTAATGAAAAAAATTGGGGCATTTAGATATACTCTGCCCAATTCCTATGAATTTAGGCATCTAACATATAGGCTTTGCTTTTTATGTTTATACGGACCAAATATTTCATATGACATTGAAAAGACCACGACATTTAGATAAATAAAATACACATTTTCATGCATAGATAAGGTGGCATAAATGTAAATACATAAGGATTGAGTGGTATGTATGCAAATCTTCTAAAAAATTAATCGACTCCCCTACTCGGTTGGATGTTACCAGAAATGACAATGAATGAAGAAGGTTTCCACATTTGTTTTCTAAATGAGTGAATAAAGAACACAGAAACCTATATTATAGCTCAAAACAAAAAGTGTTGTTCTCCATAATTTTCAGGGTAGAGGTCACAAATTCAAATTTCTAATATGATTTTCATTTGTTTTCTAAATGAGTGAATAAAGAACACAGTAGAGGTCACAAATTCAAATTTCTAATATGATTTTATTTAATCTAAATATTGACTAGCTCCCCATGTAAAATTCATAGCATGGCTCATACGATTAACTCTATGCCTACTTATCTATAATTACATATGTTCCTAAACGATAATAAATATTTCAAAGTTGAATTTTTTCAAGTGGGATAGATAGATGCAAATCTGAATTTGTCATCCCAGAGTTTTACCAATTGTGTTGCCGCCTTCCTCATCCACGACTTAGCTGCTCCCACCAGTCACCATCACCTATTTCTCATCTTATACATTACCAGTTTATAGATTGAGAGGTTATTTCGCGCTAATTTCTGTCACTTCTATTTATGTCTTTTATGCGTTAAACCAGTGCCGCCTCTGTGCACTCTCTATCCTATTTCTTTCCTAATTGTCCCAATTGCTTAACAATTCATGGAGTGAAATTTATGAAAAAGTTCCTTCACAAATATATGAGGAATACAAGATTTAATGAAAGTTAAATGTTGGCATAAATTTCTACTTTCCTCTCTTTGTGTGTGTATATGGTTGTGGATGTATACTTTTTGAGTGTTTCATAAATGCAGGCAACTTCAAGGGGGAGATTCTTTGTACGAGTGCAAGACCTGATTTCTACCTTTGAGTTTATTTAGATTATTGTTTCGTCTTACTGTACTTTATCAAATCATTGATTTTACATTTGTGTTTTGGATGTTGTTTAAAATACATGTGGTTTTTCTTTCGACACACGAAGATAAGCTGTTGCTAAATCTTGACTGTTTTCTTATTAAATTCCAAGATTAAGCTGACCTAAATTATTTTTTGGAATGAACAACGGTTTCTTGTTAGCCTTATAATAAAAGTGATACATTATTGCTAAATTTATGAAATGGTAACACGCGGACTGTACAGTTTATTGTAGTTTCATAACTATCTCATCCTACATTACATTAGAAATGCTATCAACCCTTTGGCGAAACTACATCAATCATCTTCAAATTTATGTGGGAGAGAAATTGAACCTCTACATTTTGTTGTATACTTGCACAAACAGTTTTATAATATCCAAAAGGGTGTCTGGTTAATGGGATTTTGGATTTTTGCGTGTGATTGGGCAAAATACGTAAATCCATTTTGTTTAGAAAATTGAAACTCAACCCTTAAAGTCACTTTTGGAGCAATCCAAAATCATTTTTGAACAGTTCTATATTGCAAATTCCAATCTTGCTAACTAATGAGGATTGGAAGAGTGGTTTAGATTATGATTTAAGTTGTTGTACTACACGAACTATGCCCAAGTAACTTTTTTGATCCAATAAAAAGCTCATTTGAGTTGATAGACTTAGTCCCATGGAACACCAAGATCAGATGGTGGTTTGAAAAGGGATGAGCGACAAAATACAACAACAATAAGAAGGAAACATGCGATAAAACAGCCATATGAACAAATATTTCATATTCAAAATGGAATTCCTAAATGATGCCTATAGTTAGAAGATGAGAGTTATACCACTCAACACACTAATCTAAAAAGTTCAAATTTTATCAATCCATTTATAACCAATAATAAGCCCAATGGTGAGTTTGATGAAGTATCAATTACTTCCTTCAAACTTTAGATAAAAAGATATTAATAATGAAACAACATAGGCAAGAATGACTTAGACGTTTATTTCACTAATCAGCTTGAAAAAGAAAAAAAAAAAGTGCAACCGAAAGTTTATGATCCGATTCGACGTAGAAATCTGCACAAATTTTTGTAAAAATTAAGGTAAACAGAAATTTTTATTGCAATAATACAAATAACTCACATGAATACACAAGAAAAACACCTACATCCGAGAGGTAGGCTGTCTCTCCCACTTCCTACAATTAGAGAGGTAGGAAATCTCTCTCAAACCGTAGACCTAAGACTCACAGTCCAATCTCATACATAAACCTAACCCTAAACATAATAAGCCTATTTATATCCAATAACAATAATAATAAAAGAATAAATTGCCCTTAGACATACAAAAGACAAACTTGTCCATGGCTTAATAATCACCAGAATCTCTTTCTGTCTCACGTGTCTTCCATCTATGTCAACTTCTATCTTGCTTGCTTTTGTTTTGTTCAAGTCATTTGAAAGTCATATTATTTTTTTAAAATTATTGTCTCTCGAGTCCGCTTCGGGTTCTCGCTCGATACCACAGCTCCCGATCAAGCGAGAACCCAGTGTGAATCCTAAAGCTGTGACACTGCCCTCATGTGCGAATCCTTTTGCTTGTTGCTGCTAGAGTCCGTTCCCGACATCGTCTCTCAACCCAGTGGCAGACATAGCCGTTTTTTTGTGAAACTAACATTATCTTTTTCATCATTTCTTGCATTTACCTTTTTCTCACGAATCCGCTCTCAATTCAGCTCTCTATGGAAGAAATCCTATTTTCTATGGTGAGGAACCTTTTTTCTATCTCAGATCTAATGTGACTTGCATCTTCCTTTATATTCTCCTCCAATACATCTACTTTCTTTGCTGACATTGCTTCTTGTAGGATTTTGAAACTCGCGATCCTGTAGTTGGCTTCCCAACTAGCTTGAATCTCATCACGAATATCGTAATTCCGCAGTCAGCTTCCCAAATCACAAGTTTTCATTCTGAGGGTAAGCCCGATCTGGTCGCTGACTTTGGGGATCTTGGATAGCGACTATCTTGTGACTAGGCATCGTCATCCCGCAAGTGTATCGCGAGGATAGAGCGGAAGGAGGAGAAATATGGAAGTTTGAGGTCTTTGTACGCTGCAATTCCCCCGGTGGCCATCTCAGCTAGCTCTAATCTTGTATCAGGGGTTCCTAATCGCGATTGTGTTGCGAAGAGGAGAAAAAGAAGGACTGGAGTTACGGATCCTCGATAGGTTGTAATCTCGTCAAAGCTTCCCTATTTAGCTTTGATCTCGACCGTAAGCGAAGATGGTGCGGGAGGAAGCGAAAATATTTTCGGGTTTCGGTAAGCCGCAATTCCTTCATTCTTCGGAATGCCTTGCACGCAGTTGTGTTGTACAGGAGGAGGCGAATAATGGGAGGTTCGAGTTGTTATGGTGGAGCCCGGTTCTAATTGTTCCCGCCAAAGCTAAGTGAAAAGCCACACCTTTTCACTTCTCCTGCCAACCAATTCCGCCTTTTCTCCTTTACGATCCCGCCTCAGCCTTTCCCGCCTCTTCCCTCTGTCGGGAACCACTCCCGCCTCCTCTCACGCGAAGCGAAGCATCGCTTCGCACTCTCTTAAGTTTGCGTTATCTGAGAGTTATTTTTCTCCAGAACGTCGATGTGCTTTGCAGAAGAAAGAAGAAATGTATTGCGAGGTCTCGCACGGCTCTCCTTCATATTTAGCACGGCCTTTTTGTGTTCTTCTTCAGGCTTCCTCGGGACAGGAAGATAAGTGCAAGCAGTAGTTCTTTGCGATAGAAAGAAGAAGACAGAAGAAGAAGATTGTTCTCTCTTGACTTCTTCTTGGTGGCTTGTGGCAGAAGAGAAATTGAGTTTATTTCTCTTGTAAGTTTATCTTTTTCGGTGTATCTCGGTGTAGAGAGAGAAGAAAAGAGAGTAAGGAAGTGAGAGATCCCTCTTGTAGGTCAAGATGATCGACTGATGTATATTCCTCAAGTAGTAAAATCGTCTGCAACTCCGTGGACGTTTGACTACCAAGTAAATTTATGTGTTCCGCTGTGTTACTATTTTCTGGTGTGAATTTTCTCGTTCTATTTTTGCTTCATCAAAAATCGTTCTTCTATTATATATATATATATATATATACACACACACTCACACGAGTCTTTGTAAGCCGCGATTCCTTCGTGTCGGGGCCTTCCAGCTCGCTCTGATCGCGATTGTATGCAAACAACACGGGAGGAGACGAAGGAGGGAATTTCGGGCCTTTGTAAGTTGTGATCCCTTTTTCGCTTGCCTTGCAGCGCCTGTACTCGCGAAAAAAATGGTAAAGAGACAACACAACTTACGAAAACACAATCCCGTCGTCGCCTTCCCCGCGCTGAACTCGCGAGGGATGAAGCAAGAGGAGGAGAAAGACGCAAGTTACGTGTTTTTGTACATTGCGATCAAGTCGAGGCCTTCTCAGCTTGGATTCAATGTTCGAAGGTAAAACTCCACTCTGATACTAATTTAATAGGATTCGATATAGAAATCCACATAATTTTTTGTAGAAATTAAAGCAAACAGAAATTCTTATTGCAATAATCTAAACAACTCACACGAATACACAAGAAAAGTACCTAAAGTTCGAGAGGTAGGCAATCTCTCCCACTTTCTACAATTTGAGAGCTAGGAAAACTCTCTATAACCGTAGACCTAAGACTCACAATCCAATCTCATGCATAAACCAAGTCCTAAACATGATAAGCCTATTTATACCCAACATTAATAATAAAAATAAAAGACCAAATTGCCTTTAAGCATACAACATACAAACTTTTCCTTAGAATAGGCATAGACGTGACATTTTGATGATAGAATAATCAAGAATCATGCCATAGATATATTAATGAAGTGATTGATGCGTAATAAAAAGAGAAGGAATCCTATAAATGTTATATACTGTAACGACAGAAACCTTTTCTCAAAAATATTTAAGAGCTGAGAAAAGATTTGCACATGCAATTTTAAGAAAACAATAAATCATGAATTTCAATCCATATTATGTAAAAATGTCAACAAATGAGTGTTCGGATCGAGTGTCTGTTGAAATCGACATCTTTCCATTCCATAGCGTTATCAGAACTTGGAGTTTTGATACTACAAGAAAAAGTCTGTTTAAATATATGGCTGCAAACTAAATTTGATAAAGTTTGACTAATTTTTAGAGTAACCTTCAATCAGAATAAAACTGTTATTTTGACCCCCAATTAATGAACTAAGGTAAGGCAAGACCAAAAACATCTGAGTGGATGGAATCAAAATCAGCAATGACACAAGAGTCACTATAATGAAAAAAAAAATTGCAGGTTGTTTCTCTGTTTTAACATTTGACAAGCAAAAACAACGATTCAATTGAGTGCGGACAACCCCAAATTGATTGTCAGAAACAAGAATGAGAAGAAAATTGAAAGAGATATGATGACTAAGAGACTATTAAAGACAAAGTGAGGTGGAATTGATGAAGTTAGTAGCTACTGTAGCAAAAATTGATAATGATACATCAAGACCAGTAAGTTTTAACAGACAAACATCCTTAGATCTTGTCCCAAAAAACCCACCCCATCTTAAAATATTACAAATGACGACCAAATTAAGAAAATAAAACCTTATATCCTGATTCCCATAATTTTCCAACAAGAAAAAGGTTGAGGTTATGTTAAGTAGGAAATACATACAAGAGGTATAATTGACGTACATTCACAATCAACACATGTGACTGATGAAATGGAGTCATCAGCAATGTGTATTAAAGCAGGCGCCTAAGCGCCGGCTCCACTGTGAGCAGCACCCAGTAGGCGCTTGAGTGCCCATAGCCGGCGCCTATGCACTGGCTCCTGTGTTTTGTCTCCACACATCGTAACAGTTCTCGATTTGTGTGCTTGAACTCTCTTTCTAAGTTGAGCTGTAGTTCATTATATTTCGCTCCAAAGGCATTTTCAAAATTATTTAGATGTTTTATTCTATTAGCTAATAACATAAAACAGTATTATTGAACATTCATAAGCCTAGATATATGCGGCCAATGAAAGAACATGGCGGTGATTTTAACAGAAAAAATGGTAAATATTCCAAGACAAAAAAACATTATAATACTGAGAAAACAGCCATTTACCTGCTTTTTCTGCATCTCCAAAACCTCGGCCTGAAAAATTAGGAAGTAATTAGTCAATGACAACTTTAAACTTCGAGGTTCTGTGATTAAATTAAGAAAGCAATTTAAGTATATTAACATTCCAAGAGTCTCAACAACAAACATAAAAATTACAATCAACTTCATGAAAAACCTAAAAAATCCATTAATTATTTCAGATATGTGATTGTTAAAATGTTGGTGAATCCCATTTTTCAGTTTTACCAATTCAATCCAGTCACTCTAATAATAAATTTGGTCATTTTCATCTCCCAAATTATACTTCCATCATCTGTTCCCTCATACGAGAGTCCATTACTATTGTCCTCGAATGTTTTGAGAGTTTGCCTGATCATTAAACACAATATAGACATTACTAAGAAAAGAAATATCCACAGCTCAACCAACGTCAAATCCACTGTAAAATGAACAATACTATCCTGCTAAGTGCACCTCCAATTTACATGCATTAACTATAAAAAAAAAAATTATTGTGTTGATCAAATGAGCTATAAGATTAAGAAATTCCATAATATTTAAATTAATTTATGATGATATTTTCACTATACATGCGAACACAGTGAAAAGTTTAAGATGCCAATTCAATAACTACATTTTAAAAAATTCAATTTAAGCATCTTTCATAAACTATCATTGACATGTCTATGTTCAGAAACACTCATACGTAACAATTTGAGGCTTTATTCAATTCATGGTTTCAACGAAAGCTTTCTCCAATGCTTGATAAGACAAATAATTGGAGTTCTACTCTCTTTAGATAGGGTAATAATAAGAAGTTAGTTCTCCAGCATTTGACTTCTTACTAAAAATGGGATTTTGAGATTTAGAGATCATTATTAAAATGTATTTTCTCCAAAGTTCATATTTGTAAATTAAGTGTGTCACTATACAAGATAGTGCCATCTTCGCCTTAGCCCTCGCCCTCTCCCCTTTTGTTCTCAATCATGTAGAGTCATCATAATGTTCTTACTTATACAGCTTGCTTTGGTTTTATCGACTGCAAAATTAATGAATAAACAAGCCCTCTCTAATATGAAGATTGCAAAGGCTTGTTTGTGCGATAGTACGGGAGACTCTTAAATAAATGTTTATCAAGTTACATATATTAAAAAGACATTATTAATAGTGTTAATATTGAAATAATTCAACAATTGTTTCAAAATATGAAGTTAGAATAAGTGAAATGAAAGGTAGAATATGAAAAGTATGCAGTCTAAATTTTAAGTTTTTCTTCTACATATAATTTGTATTTTTATCTTAAATAAACTTTTCAAATAATTTTAAAGCGGGCAATACTGCACTCAAGATTGCATAAAGAAGGTTAAATGGTGTTCTTAAAGTCATCAATTTGTATCTCAGTAAGAAAAAAAAATCCTAACTACCATGATTACATATATAACATGAGTGTCTATTCTCATGAGCCATGCAAAACTTAGAAAGATACAAAAGATACTTCATATTATTCTTAACAATTATAGCAAAATTTTGAAAGAAGAGTACGAAAAAATATTAATGAAAGAGTAACATTGAGAGCTACTTCTAAGATGGCAACTCACTCGATATCATACATTCAAATATTTGATGGATATTTAAAAAGTTTAATAGATGAATATTTGACATAAAAGGAAGAAGGCTGCAGTAAAGAGTAATGGATGCACCATTAAAATATAAAAATCTACAAGCAAAAACATGCTCATCCTTATTCAGAATTTGTAAAAAAAGAAGGCTAGTTGTTAAAACTTACTTGTTTCTTTTCTAGCTCTTGATTTTTCTCTTTAAGTATAGCTACTTCAGTTTCTAGCTCCATAGTATAAGCCTGTGACCCAAAATGAAAAGAGTTAAACGATAGGTTCTAAAAACAAAAATCATTATAATAATATCATAATGTCGACATTCAACAAGGAATTACATTTGTCTAAGTAACCCCAAGAACATCTCAACAACCTCATGGTTCCATATTAAATAATCTTAAACTTATCAAACATTGTAAAGACTGCGATGCAAACAAACCTTATGACATGGTTTAGTCGTAGGGCTAACGACTCATAATAAATTTTACATCTAATCACTATAAATCTTGATATAAAATTTACTTACATTTAATCGATAACTTTCATAAATCATTTTACAAAGTAAAAAAACTCCAAATTTGATATATCAAAAATCTAAATGATCATCTTATAATGAATATCTAAAGGACATCAAAATCGCCAAATGCTTGCATCTTTGATCCATTAATTGTATCAAACTTGACTTTGTTTCTTAAATTGGTCTCACATCCAATGAGGTTGGCCCCTCTCCCTTCTTCCTTATGCAACTCACACAAAGCAAAGGTCCAATCTTGTTGCAAGTCGCTCAACTTCCCAAATTTGATATATCAAAAATCTAAATGATCATCTTATAATGAATATCTAAAGGACATCAAAATCGCCAAATGCTTGCATCTTTGATCCATTAATTGTATCAAACTTGACTTTGTTTCTTAAATTGGTCTCACATCCAATGAGGTTGGCCCCTCCTCTCCCTTCTTCCTTATGCAACTCACACAAAGCAAAGGTCCAATCTTGTTGCAAGTCGCTCAACTTAAGCCCCGGATAGTGACAAAGTTAGCATGATTTGGCATATTTGTTTCATAAATGTGGCCCTTTTCCAAGTTCCACCTTAATAGACCATTGATTCTAAAGAAGATGAACATTTCAACACATAAATGATGGCTTATTGTCGTCATTTCCTAATAACCTAAATTTTATTCACAAACAACCTTCAAATTAATTCAATCAATCCAGCAGTTAAAATTTTGATCTGTCAACTTTGCTGGGTTAGTTGATGCAGAACACCTCATACGTCAACAATTAAGCCTAATTACTGTTGCACCCAGCGCATTTCACCACGTACTTTTCTCTTGACTGGCATATTTACATAACCATTTGCTTTGGATTATGAGTTTTATATATTTTGGAACTTATGATGGCATTCCTTGTTGGTGAGTTGTAGCATGAAGCATTATATATGTGCTTTAACTGGTCTAGCCATCTCTCTTGTCCTTATTTTGAAAACCTCTTGACCATCACTGTATTTTTTTATCACTATGCATCGCTTGACCACCACATCACAATTGAATCCACCTCAAACAGTCCCTTCTATGTCACGGCCAATCGCCCCCCTCACTCTGTCTCTACTAATTAAACCTACAAGTTCCCATGAAGCCTTAGCACCACCATTCCTTTATGACCTTTCTTTGGAGAAAGCACTGAACATTTAAAAACTTGCCAAAGCTACTGTAAACTCTCACCACTTCAATCTTTTACACTTTCCACAGCTATGTCATGCACCAAACTATATACTGCAATTTTATTTCAAATAAAAGAGTGCAAGAGGTTCTGTTTTGCTGGATGAAAATATTGAATTCCTCTCGCACTTTGCTTTGGGTTCATTCCTTCTCAAGTGAGAATTTTTCAGTGAGTGAGAGCCACCTTTTGGAAAAAAGTTCCTGAGAAAGAAAGAAGAGCTTCACAATGAAGGACCATTCTCTAGCTTCCCATCTTCAAGTATTCCCTCCTTCAACACCAACTTGATTAAATCTGCTATGTTTAGAACCTTCTCTAGTATTCTATCATCATTCTTACACTTAAGCGTATGAATCTCATTTCAATGGACATAGTTTATAATTGCATCATAAGTATTTGAGTCCTCAGATTGGCATTTGGAATCAGTTAGTTCAATACTCTCCAAAGCATAAGTAAATATTTAAAGAACTTTCGCTAAAGAGATATTTGCATGAATCTTATATCATCTAACTACCGAAAGAAATAGCCTTGTTCTCCATTCCTTCCAACAGAGAGAGAGCCTTAACAGTCTCAAGTCGCTCTAATCCCCATCATTCCAACAGAAAGATCATCTCAATCACCTCCTATCATCAGCCAACTTCAAGTTGTTTGATCTCATAGCCACCATAAAGATAAAAAACAGTCCCAATTTCCAAGCAACGCCATCAAAATCAACACCTCCCCACTTTTTCACTCTATCATAAGAGACATTCAACATAATTTAGATCTTTTATATTGTACTAATGAAATCTCCAATTTCAGGGAGGTTAACAGCATCTATAATCTAAGACTAAGTATCAATGAAAATTATTTCAACTGGGCCAAATCCCCCATCTTTTTCTTTTCAGATTTTTCAATTGAGTTTTTCGTCCTTCATAATTTGCATTTGCTTTTCTAATTATGATTTAAGTCTTCAAAAGATAATAAATTTCTCAGTATAGTTTTGTTATTAAAAAATTTTCCACACTTCAAAACATGAATGATAAAAAAACCTAAAGATCCGGAAAGGTAAAAACAGTTTGGCGGTATTTTTTTTTCCTATATATATATATATATATGTGTGTGTGTGTGTATACAACCATAAGTGAGCAACTATGTTCGGCAAACAATTTGGAAAAAAAGTACACAAGAAAAATTATTAAGAGGCAATCAGACAAACCAATTTTACACCTAAACATGCTCAAAGTAACCTAACACCGAGAAAGTAAAATGAAATATAAACCTGGTATGGGAAACATCTGCTTAACAAAGCAATTTAATCAAGCCACGCAAAATTAGGACATGTAATTTAAAATAGAAGCATAGCAAAGGAATTATTAAAAAAAATACAAAATCAACATCAGTTCAATTAAAATTGGATTCAAATGAATTATAAGCAATAAAAACAAAACAATAAATATTACCTGTTTCCGGGCTCGAGACCTCGCAGCGGACTCTCTGTTTTTTATCATCCTCCTCTGCCTCCTTTCCAAAATCTTCTCCACCGTACCATCAGACTTTCTCCCCTTAGGGGGCCCATTGAAAGCGAACGATAGCCCAGAAAAAGAAGAAAGCTCAGCATTCCCCTTTGCAGTTCCACCAGACGTAACGTGTTTCGCGGGCGAACCAGCAGTTACAACGGAAACAGTTCCAGTTGCCAATCCAACTATTCCCGATATCAAACCATTATTAATTGCCGGATCAGCGATCCCAACGATTCCGTCTCTCATCCTCCGCTGTTTTCCGAGGTCAGCATCAGCGCCTAATGGTAGGTGCGCGGCGTATGGCCTCGCGCCGGCAACAGGAATAGTTAAATTTGTACCAGAGTTGCTTGGAAGGGAGTTTGGCATTACGCCCGCAATGCAGCGTTCCGCCTGAGGAAAAGTACTCGACGCAAACGCAGAGTTATTGTTGCCCGATGCTGACAGATCTCCGTAATAAACGCCGCTATTATCATTGCCAAGCTTTTTATCCACCGGTGTCGAGACCGTAGTGTTAATTTCTTCCCTCACTACCCCAGCTCGCACCAGAAACTCCTCAAGCGTGATCTCACCAATCGTTGGCTGCCTCTGCTGCTTCTGCAAATCTGATCGACCGCCGATTTCCACGTTATCGGTGATAACACCCCGCCAAACATCATCGACGGTCTTCAGGCTAAGTGTCCTCGGAAGATTGAACGATCCCTGATGTTGCAGAACGCCGGCGCCACCTTCCGGAGCACCGAGAGCGACTGCCATTGCTTGACTCTCCTCAGCAATCCAGATGTTCTTCAGAAACTCATCCATGTTCATCGAACCCAATTCCTTCCCGATCCCCCCCATCGTAGTTTGGAACTCCTCAAAGGTCAGCGAAAAGATCGACGGCTGGCGCGAAAGCAATGGAATCCCAGCCGCCGACGCTGCCGCCGTCTGCCGATCGCAGTCGTTCCCATCGCTCCACATAGCACGGTAGCTTATCTCCTACTTCCTCACTCCCCCTGATATTCTACCCAATTCACCTAAGAAACATGAAAGCATACATACAAATCTAGGTTTAAAAATCGAAGAATACATGAAAATAAATGTATAATACCAAGTGCTGCAAAGCGATGGAGAGAGAGAGGGAACCTTTTGGAGCCTTTTAGGTTGTGCAGGATGAAGTCCACCACTTCTGCTGTCGACGAACGATAGGGGAGCGCCATGAGAGGGGATTTTAATGTTTGTGCAGATGAAAAAAGCCTAATTAATAATTGGGGAAACGTGGCATGTAATGGACGAGCACACAGAAATTGAATTGACGCTCATCCAATCGAGAAGAGCCATTTGGTCGTCGCCAGCTGAAGTGGGAAGTCCCGACAAACTTTTCGTGAGGCCCCCCATATCCGGTCTCAATTATTTATTTATTTTATTTGTTGAAATTATCCGGAGTGGGCTCCCACTTAGGGCCGAATGAATCAACCGAAAATTACGGGCTATCTATGGATTATTGCACTTTTTTTATTATTTAATTTCTTTTTTTTTCAGTGTTAGATTCTAAGTTGGGATTAATGTTTGGGTTAGCGAATGGGTCTTTGGGGTGCAAAATACTCATTCAAGAAGTGTTTTTCTTTTTTTTATTTTTCAAAAGAAGCTACCATCATCCACTTAAGAAATTTACTCAGAATATGTATATGAAATTTTTATTAGTGAAGTATTTATGTAATTTTTAGAAGTAAAGTGGTATTAATATAATAGTTTTGTGTGAATGGTCAATAATACATAGATGAAGATTCAAAAAAAAAAAATTATTGTTGTTGAGTGCTAGACAATTCTCAAAGATAGAAAAAAAATTAAGACTTGGGTTAGTAAGAGTATTTAGGGCACACACATAGAAGTAATAAAAGGTATAATTTTTTAAGTGAAAATTTCAAAAAAGGACGATCCATACTGAATCATTTGATTGTAGACTATTCTTGTAATATTTTAAGTGTTTTAATGATCTCAAATTTATTTGAACGTGGGCTCATTGGAATATTCCCATTGAGCCGCTCAATTTGCTATGAGCATGGGAAATTCAAATATTATTTGAACATTTAATCAATACTTTCAAGCTCTTAGTTATTTTTTAAGTGTTTGATCTGAGCTCAGTTGGACTCGGATTGAAACACTTTTAGTGTATTTGAGTTTGTATTAAGTAGATATTCAATTTGACTATATTTTTTTTTTAATTTGAGATTGGATGGTTTTAAATTTGAAAATTAAGGTTTTCATTCTAAACATATTAAGCTTCATGCCTTATCATGTAAACTTTTGGTGAAATATGAGTCGCCGCACTATTTTTTTACCTCAAAATATATATCATCGAAAAATACATATTAAGTTCTTACAACTTTCATGCCTTATCATGTAAGCTTTTGGTGAAATATGAGTCGCCGCACTATATTTTGACCTTAAAATTTATATCATCGAAAAATACATATTAAGTTCTTACAACAATTATATATTAAAATTACAATTTGAGATGTGTTAAAATACACGGCTGCTCGCTGGGCATTAAGACTGACCTCCCATCTAGGTCGTGAAGCAAGAAAAATCTACTCAATCATAATTTTTAATATTTATGAAGAAGTGTGTAGATCGAAGCAATAATTAATAACAAAATTAATATTTTTTAATTACTCAAAAAATAATCATACAAACTTCATTGAACAATAAAAGCATAAAAATTTAATCCAGAATGTTGAGAAATAATAAAACAGACATTATGCAGCTTCGAGTTGGTTAGGTCGACGCTGC